CACTCTCGCCACCCTAGGTAATATTTTCGAAGCCGTAAGGACATATAGAAACGTATAAACTTGGACGAAAACGGAGAGAAAGGTTTACGATCAGAGGAGGAAACACTGTTTGGTCTAGGAACGTCCCTAAACGCTGGCTGATTTTATTCTATCGCCGGGAGCCGCCTCTAACGGCGTCAATTCGAGATGAACGGGAGACCTTGACACATATCTCGGTATATACCTGGGGCTGGGCGGGAATTTCCCGATCCTGAAAGTGGGTCACCGAGTGCAAGGACAACGAGTCCGGGTCACTAGGATCCGAGCGGTTAGGACCTAGTTCACGGACGCGGCAGACAATCGTTTTCCCCCGAATTTTCCAGGACCCTCCCAGACCAGCCGTTTCCACGGAGAAAGCATAATCCTACCTTCGACGTTCAATCTTCTCTTATCTTCGAACGGTGTTCCTGTTTATTTCTGCGTTAATCCTTTTTTCCTCTAGGACCAAATTGAAGAACCAGTGAGCATATTTGTTGATGCAGTAAATTGCCAGTAGTATTTAAACGAGGAATTTTATTATTAGCTTTTGCTTCAAGTGTTGTTGATTGACGAAATTGCGGTTGAATGGATGTGTAACAAAATAGACGGCAAAGGACACTGTTTCAGGGGAATTAATAATGTAAAATTGAACGAATGTCTAAGGAAAATAGCCGCTATTTATTGGGTCAGTGTTTAAAAGAATTTTTAATCGGTATTTTAAATAAATGGTCAGTATTTAAAATAAAAATTGATTGATACAAAAACTGTCAGGATTTTGCATTGAAATATTATGTAAACATAATGATTTGTCAGCGTTTTAAGTAGATGGACAGTGTCTATGATAAAATATTCTAACCTAACCTAACTTAACCAAAAATTTAAATTTTATCGCCCAAAAAACAAACGAATACCGACCAAATAAACAAAATTGTAATACTGACAATTAATTATTTATACTGACCAAAATATTTACTATCAATTAACAAAAATAGTGACCAAATAGATCGAAGTGAAAGAAAATGAACGGCGAGGAACACTGGTTCAGGGAAATTAACAATGTGAAATTGAACGAATTGCAGTTAAATAGATACCTAAACAAAACAAACAGCGAGTAACACTGGTTCAGGGAAATTAATAATGTGAAATTGAACGACGACAAATATAATAAAATTTATCAGAATGAGAATGACGTTCGTCAATTATTCGGGCACTGTACTTCCGATTCGAATGACGTCTGTAAATCTGAAATAAATCTAGATATAACAATAGGACATATCTATTGTCCTAAATAAATGAATCGTGATTGAATAGATCTCTAAGGTTGCTACAAAAGTTGATAAAGGACCATATTAGAAAAATTAGCGGTAAAAAATTAAAGGATGGTTCGTTACATCTAACAAAACTGTGGAATACATTTTTTTGTAACAGTTCTTGAGAATGGAAACATCATTCCTTCTGAATGATACAGTAGAAAATGGTAAATCTAATCACTTGGCAGTGTACGTACCAATAAGCAGTTCTTGCATTTGTATTGCAATAAACTGGCAAAGGGTTAAACGATATTCTTAAGTTTGAGGAACGAATAGATGCCAGATTCTTTTGAAGAATTTTTTTAGAACGCTCCTATTCTTCATCATTCTTGGTACTCTTCCAAGAATATTTACCTTTTTCTCTTATGAAATAGGTTAGCTAGAATTTATTAATCAGGAGGAGTTACGAAGAAGATGCAATACTTTTGTTTGATAAAAATTGTTCAGATTTTGTTCTTTCTCCAAAAAAAAAAAAGCTTTATCCATTTTCTTCTTTCTTTTGCGAAATACGTCCGGTAAGGTTAGGTTAAGTTCACCAATCGAGACGAATTTATGCGTTTTTCTTACGTGAAAATTTTTAATGGACTTTTTGGTTACTTAGCTCGAAACGGTGCAACGTTGCGCGACTATATTTGAGGCGTCGTCGATCGTTCCGGAAGAAATTCTGTCACGCGTCTTTAAATAGTCCGTGCAACGAGGGAGAGAGAGAGAGACAGAGAGAGAGAGAGAACCTCCTGTGAATATAATTGTTATTAACATCGGCTGACACACGCGCGGTTTCAGCGTATAGGGGAATTGACCCACATTTTTCCGTATTTTTAGTCCACGCTGCGTTCATCAATGGGAGCATTGGATTAGCACGAGGCAGAAAAATCCCCGCGAAAATTCGACAATACTATATTTAACGTATTCGCAGAAACACACGGCAACGTGAATTCGTCATTCCCCCAGTCGCGAAAATCATAAATAATTCGATATTTACCGAGCGCGGCCATTTCCCAGTCGAGTCTCGAATATACGGATAATAGGTCAAGCGAATACACGGAATAGTTGAAGAATAGACGTTGTATATCAACCGAACGTCAATTATTGGGACACTAGAACTATTCGA